GGCCCCGGGTCCCGCGCGGGGTCCGTGCCCGCTCTGGAGGAACCGCGGGCCCTGAGCACCTGCTCTCTCTCCTCTCGCCCTCGGAGGTCGAGAAAAGCGTTCGACTGACGTGACCAGAGCCGAGTAGGAACTGGCTGGGGTCGTATTGGGAGCGCAAGGTGGGGAGAGCTGGGTCGCGACTTCGTTTCGAGAGGAGTCGGGGCGGACTGTCCTCCAAGTCTTTAGGTAAGATGCTCGCGCAGAGCGCCCTACGCGCACCGGCCGGACGGCCATCCTCCGTCCCCCCGCCCCTCCGCCCCCGCCGCGTAAGTGACCTCAAAGAGATGTGAGGGTGGCCTTGGCACCTTCTTACTCTCCCTCTTACTGTTACCTCTTAACCATTTCCAACCCGTGCCTGTTCTTTAATTAGATTTTGCAAGATAAAGTGGTGAGCTTCAAATGGCAGTTGTTGATTGTTCTTTTGAGAGATGAGAGGGAGGGGGGAGGGGGAGAAAGAGAGAGAGAGAGAGAAAGAGAGAAAGAGAGAAAGAAAGAGAAAGAAAGAAAGAAAGAAAGAAAGAAAGAAAGAAAGAAAGAAAGAAAGAAAGAAAGAAAGAAAGAAAGAAAGAAAGAAAGAAAGAAAGAGAGAGAAAGAAAGAAACAGGAAGAAAGGAAGAAAAGAAAGAAAAAGAAAGGTCAAGGTTTCCACTTGAAGTAAATGTCATTCACATTTATTATCCTTTTTCATCCGTTTTAGGAATAATCACACGTTTTAGCTCTCGATTCTGGCTTAGCAAGTAACTTATCTGTGCAAAGTTGCGCACGCAGCTGTGCTGGAGGCAGCGGTCCCAGAGTCCCACCCATGTCACCTAGGCTGTGAAGGGAAAGGGGAGGAGGGATTTAGCCCAAGCAACCACTTCCTTTGCAACAAAATACAGTCATGACGTTTTTCCAGTTGCCAGAGCCCTTTTGACAGAAGTTGTGGGGACACGGTGTCCATCTGCATGTGTGCCTACATGAAGCCTGCGCTCCACTGCTGTGATCAGTGGACAAGCCTTGGATCTGGACGCAGCATATGGAGATGCCTGTCTGCTCTGCCACCTCAGAGGCTTGTGAGGCTCGAATGAAATGATGCGCACACAGCTGACTCACACCTGAAAAGCCCAAATGTAAGAGGCTGCTAATGTCTTTACCTCCCTTTCCAGTACCTGTGCCTGGGCCCTGGCACACCTGCCCTTGTGTTGAATGACGAAGATCCTCACAGAGGTGCATCCATTCTCATCTAGTGATCATCCGTGGCTGTCTCTTACAAATTTAAAATCAATAAAGTTTTAAATGTTACAGATGAAGGTACTTTTATTAATCCCCTTAAAATGTAAGCATGACAAATTTATTCTAGTACTTTATTAAATATTCCCAACTCCAGCTAGCATATATTATCATGATTAGCAAGACTAAGCCATCAGACTAGAACAACACATTGCTATTCTGTTACATGTGGCATTTATGTGTTTCATAATTGTGAAATAAAAAAACAATGACACTTGAGCAATTAAAAAAATTATGCCACACAACTGCGGAGTCACAGTTTCTTCCAGCTAAATTAAAAAGCTTCTGTGTCTGCATGCAGGATCACATTTCCCTTCTAAAGCTAGAGATTGGAGGGCTTGCTGCATTGTAGCTTGTTAAGTTTCAATTAGAAACGCTTCACGGGTCTCATGGAAAATAGCTCAGGCTAAGTGTTCACTTACTGATGTATGGTCTGTTTGCTTAGGGCAGATTGTATCTATTGCTACTTATATTTAACCAACAGTAAAAAAAAAAAAAAAAATTTAAGTTTTTGTCGTTATTGTTTTAGAGAAGCGATGAAAAAGGAAGACCAAGTTGACTAAATGCTTCCCGTTTGAAGTTCATCTCTCTCTGAAGGGGACATATACACCCTGAGCCGGACATCAAAGCTTTCAGCATTTGCAGAGATGTTCCAAGGTGATAGTTAATTCAGCTCAATCAATGATAAAGATTTCAAGATAATTAAACTTTCCTTCCAGAACTCGGTGTTTATCAAGGCTCTGTTCATGGTTATTATGATCTGGACTCTCGAATCGTGACTAACTGCCACTGCCGCTTCTCATTTGTTTGGTTTTATTCTTGCTTTTCACTGCCACCTTCAAAGATCTAAAATGTGGGTCTCATTCGATGCTTTGTTCTCCCACACGTAAGAGTTTTATTACTTGTTGTGCTTTGAATCTGAAGTTCTTGGTGCAGTAAAGAGAAGGAAATTTTTTAACCTTTGTCATGGTGATGATTTTTAACAACCTAAATTTGGTCATCAAGCTGATACATGCTTGACACAGGCTCTTCTGACCAGTTCTCCTTCTGTGTATACCCGGGACCCGCACAGGTCTCCCTGGCCAAGACAACAGAACGAGGCTTCTTGACCCACCTGGGCTCGAACACAACCCCAACCTCACGGGTATTCAGCTCACCAACCACGGACAATTCAGCCTCGCTGGAGTCACCAGCAACGCTCCGAGCAACAACCCCGGGCAAAGCAACCCTGAGGCGCTTAAGACTTCAAAACCTAGATGGTAGCCCTCAAAGACAAGTCTGGAGTCGCGAAACGGGATAAAGAAAGTTGACAAATACGTTTTTTTAGTTTATTCTATTAAACGTTAACAAAAGACACGTGCTAGCTGTTAAAGGAACTCTGGGCGAGGAGAAATCATCTTGTTTTCAGTGGGTGGGAAAAGTTTCGTGGAGAAGATGTGACAATATCTGGGGTTTAAAGAGTACAAGTTGCAAGGGGACCTGGAGGGCAAGGATAATAGAGAAGCAAAACATGGAAGAAAAAAGTGTGTGCAGTGTTTCTGTGGGGGGGAAAACGTCTACTCGTGCAAAGACATAGTGGACTGAAAAGGTAGCTAGGGATCAGACATAAAGAGTCTTTAATAGGTTTTATCATCATATCGCGTCAGAGCCTCTACCTCCATGGACTCATCAGCACTATCTAGGCACTGTGAAGGCAGCTGTTTAACGAAGTAGACGAAGGACCCCTAGCCTCCTCTTAAACCATTTTCCATTCTTTGCCTCAGCCACACTGCTTCCTGGTCATTCTTGGAAAAAGCCCAACTGGCTCCCAGCCTCCGGTTCTTTGACTGGCTGTTTGCCCTCTCTGGAATGCTGTTCCCAAGATTGCCCTGCTTCTCCTCAGTCAGGTCTCAGAGCAAAAGCCACATTCTGAGAACAGCATCTTTCGACCTCTCCATCCAAAGCGGTTACCCCCAATCACTCAATTATTTTCCACGCAAGGCTTATGACTGTCTCAGCTTATCTCGTTTGTTTACTTATTTACTTCCTTGATCCTCAGCTAGAATGTAAGTGTCATGAGAACAGGCATCTAGCTTTTTCTTTGCAGTATCTCTGACACCTAGAATAGTGCCTGAATATTGTAGGTGTTCCACACATATTTGTGGAATGAATGAATGAATGAATGGGTAAGAAACGGCCAAAGCGCGTCATTGAGAATTGTGAAGCCACATCCTAAGTTCTAAAGGAGGCTGTGGTTCATTAGTAATATCTTCCCTGAGCACAAGAAAGAGAAGTGGTCACAATAGTGCCTTATTTGACATCCTGCATATGTGCCACGGCAGCCATGTCCCAAGCCTACTCTGCTCAAACCTCAGGTAGGTCTGAAGATACAACAAGAAATAGAACACAAAACGATGTCACTGTGTTTAAGTGCAGACATGCCTCTCTTCCCCTGGTACACCTGCTACATGCCTGACAAGCCCGAAAAGATTGAAAAGGCAATGACATTAGGGTTTGGCCCTTCTCTGACCTAGCAAAGTCCTCATGCCACAGAGGTTTTCGGAGCCACTAAATATCAGGTGCACCCTCACGAAAAACTAAGAAGGCACCAGGGATTCATTCCCACCCCCTGGTATTCTTGTTCTGCTTAGTTGCCAG